GGCGGGGACTTTCTGGTGCTGCCACCCTGCAGCATTGCCACCATCCCGGCAATAGGGCTGGAGCTTCGATGCGACAAGGACAGGGAAAGCGGGGTGCTGCGCTGGGAACATGATGGCCCTGGCGCTTGGCCCTGCCTCCTGGCCAACGGGGGCTGCGAGGGGATGTGTGGTGAGGAGGGCGGCCAGCCACGCTGCTCCTGCCCCGATGGCAAGCTGCTGGACCCAGACGGGCGCAGCTGCAGCTCGCCCTGTGCTGGCGCACCCTGCCAGCACCACTGCATTGTCAATGGCACCAGTTTCCTCTGCATGTGCGAATCGGGCTCCGCCGATGGCACCAGCTGCGAGGATGACGACGACTGTGCCGTCTTTCCGAGGCTGTGTGAACAAGTCTGCGTGAACACCGAGGGCGGCTTTGAGTGCCACTGCTACCGTGGCTACAAGATGCTGGAGGGGAGCTGCCGGCCTGTCTCCCGCTGCTATGAGGCACCCTGCGAGCAGCAATGTGAGGACGTTCCCCATGGGTACCGCTGCGGCTGCTTCCCCGGCTATGCTGTCCACCCGCAAATGCCCACTCGCTGCCTGCTGCACTGCAACCACAGCCAATGCCCGGCCCAATGCGACACAAACACCCTGTCCTGTGAATGCCCCGAGGGCTTTGTGCTGGATGATGCCAACAGCGGGCAGGTCTGCATGGACATCGATGAGTGCAACATGAACTACTGCCAACACAACTGCACCAACCACCCTGGTGGCTATGAGTGCCACTGCTACGCCGGCTACCAGCTCGTCAACGAGAATGACTGTGTCAAAATCACAGAGGACTGGGAGGGAGAGTACTCGGGGGATTTCAGGCCCAGACCTCAGACACCCATCCCCAGCCGGACCCCACCGAAGGCAGCGCACCTGCATCCTGGTGCACTGGTGGGTATCACCATGGGTGCCCTCTCTGCAGCACTGGCCCTGCTAGCCCTGGGGTACCACCTGGCGAAGAAGAGCTGCAGACCCCCCTCCACCATGGATTACAAATACAGTGGCCCCCACGAAAAGGAGATGGGACTTCAGCCGATCACCTCGAGGTGTCCCGTCTCTGGCCAGAAAGCAGGACAGAGAGAGGGAGGTGGACAGAACTGGGTAACATTTACTCCCCCCGCCCCTGCTGCAATTTTTTAATGATAAAGAGAATTTGGGAAAAGCTGTGATCAGCCCCACTTCCAAAAGTACTCACTTCTTTCCAGCTGGCTCTTGCAATACTCGTGCCAGAGAGCAGGGAAGGTGGAAGGCATGGAGTGCTGTTCCATTTCTGCTCCCTTCACAGGCAGCAGCGGGTGTTCGGCTTCCCTTTTCCCGAGCCGGCAGCTGGGGGGGCTTTGAGGAAAAACCGTGCATGTGTTACAGGAGGGATGTCTCCATCTGGAACTGACTGTTTAAATACACATCGGCCATGGGACGAGACCACGCCTGTCACGGCTGGAAGGACTGTGGAACACAGGTCGCCTGGCTCCAAATCTTGCTTCCCTTGGCTGTGAAGCGTGCCGCTAGGTTGGAGATGATGGTTTTCCTGGGGTGGTGAGGAGCTGAGATGTTCCTGCCTTTGTCTGGGTTTGGTTTAGTATTTTTAAACTGATGGGTGATGCAAGAAGTAAAGATCTTGTGGTCAGCACTTTGCCTCGCTCCTATGCCCCCTTCTGCCTCATCGGCAGAAATCTCAGTTTTGTTCCCCCCCATCTGCATCTTTCGCCTCTCACCTCTGACAGCTGAGCACTTTTCACCTTAAATCACTAGCGACAGTGAGGACTCGACTGAGCATCACCATGTGAAGGCTGAAATGCCTGCTTTCTATTCCCTCGTACCATTTTGGGGCTTTTTTTCTGGGGTGTGGAGGTTAAACAGGGATACCAAGAACACCAGGATAATTTTTTCCATGGTAGGAAAGGTCGTTTGCAGCACTGGAGAGCCTTGCCTTCCCCACACAATTTCTTCCATGATTTTCTGCCATTGTTGGGTTAAATGGTTTAGTTGTTTGGGTTTTTTTCTTTTTACAAACTGGCTTAACCGACCTCTCCTGTCCACCTGGATTTTTCCTGGTTTTTTTCTTTGGTCTTGTCCAGGGCTGAGTTTAATCCATGTTCAAACTCATGGCAAAACTTTCCCAAGGGGGCAGGATCCAGCCTGCTCCTTACTTTCTAGCCACAAACGGGGGAAATCTGGAAAAGTATTTTACTCATCTTTTTTCCAGCTCCATTGTTCAGTGGGGGTACAAGGGGCAGCTCTACAAAGCCAGCATACTGCTGGGCAGAGCTGGCAGGGCTGGGGGTGGTCCTGCTCTGGCTGCCGTGGTGGGGTAAAGCTGACGGCTGTTGGTGCAGGCACGGGGCAAGCAGCGGAGCGGGTGCTGACAGCTTTATGCCTGTAAAATATCAGCCTGCAGCAGTGCTTGGCTTTTCCCGCAGGAAGTTTTGCGAGCCTAGGGTCAGAGCTTGGGAGGGTTGGGTGCTGCAGAGCGGCTGCAGAGCTTGGGGTGGGTTGTGTTCCCCCGCATTCCCCCTTACCTGCTAAGTGAGCTTGCTGTCACGCAGCATTTCTGCCCCCCCCCCCAATATGATAGTGCTATGTTGCAGCCTCCAAGGAAAATAAAAAGGTATGTATTGTATGAACCATTGCTTTCCTAATGTAAATGGTCCAACCCACTGTTTTATACACCCGACACATTTGTAAATATTTATTTATTGGAAGTATACCCTATGCAATGCACAATCACATGGTGATTTTGTGTGTAGACCAATAAAGCTTTTACAGTCTGGTTTATAGAAAGCTGCTAATGAAATATTCTTTCTCCCCTTCCCTAAAATGACTGGTTTTCCTCACTGAACACCGGCCCCTCTCACAGACAGAGCTCCAGAAGTCACAAACCGCTGTGGACTGTTAGCGGAGCATCAGGCTGAAACCATTGCCCTGCTGGTTATTTCACCAGCGTGGTTAAAATAGAAGGAATGAGCCATAAATAACTGAGAATAAGAATAACATTAAAAGGACAAAGTTGAAACCAAATAAGCTAGAAATGGCTAATTTAATGCTACCTCTGTGTGGCCAAGCCCGTGTGGCCCCAGCGCTGTTCCTCAGCTGAAGTTTTGCTGGGTATGTGTCTCAGATACCACCAGAGGTGATGTTTACCTATGGCAAAGACAACGGGATTCAGTTCTCCTGGGTTTTCTTGTGGAAAATACAGTTTTGGTCCTGTGTGTGCTAAAATCCCTTTGCCTGGGAATTTGGGGGAGCAGGGGAGGTTTATTGGTGGGACCTACATTTTTTCCTTTCCCCATGAGCTGAAGGGAGGTTTGGGACTTGCTGGCTCCTGCTGAGACTCAGTTTGTGCAGCCTCAAGCTCTGACCTCAGTTACTCAGAAACCTTTTTTTTTCTTTTTTTTTTTTTTTTAACGTAAGAGGAACCCAAAAGGACCAGATTAATCCTGTGCTCCCAGTGCCCTGCAGAGCTGATGTAGAAGTCCAGTCCAGTCCTATCCCCTCACTCTGTTGTAGGAGGAGCAGGGCTGATAGGCTTTAGGGCTTTTCTCCATCTTTCAGAGCGTGTCTTGGGAAGGAATGGGAAGGTTTGTAGTTTTATTATTCTGGAGGGGCACTTGCCCTGGGGCTAGTGACTGCACACTAATGAATTTTGAAATCCTCACAGTCCCTGATCCCAGCGGAGGCTTCTCGCTGCCAAAGCTAACGACAATAATTACTCAGTCAACGTAATTAACTGTATCACAGGCCAGTCTTATGGCTTTTTATTTTGTTGAACTGCACAGCACAAGTGAGGACTGGTGGTGTGGAGCACGGCAGTTTGTCCCGTCTCCAACCGGGGTCCCATTTGCTGGTGCCTGGTGCAGATGCCTGCCAGGGGCCAGTGAGGCATGGGGATACGCTAGAAGGTGGTGGTCTTTGTGAGGAGGGGTCCAGGCTTGCAGCAGGGCTCAGGATGCACGGGTTCCTGCTGGCAGGGCAGAGGTGGGCATATGCAGCCCTTGCCTTTGTCATCCCCCCGGGGAGTGGCACAGTAGTCAAGGGGCTCTTCCTCCTCCTCCTCCTCCTCAGTGGCCCCTTCCCCAGCATGGCAGCAGCAGAGGCTGGCGTCAAGGCAGCGGCGCAGCACGCCATGGAATGAGTGCCGGAAATTTTCGGAGAGGAAGCCGTAGAGGATGGGGTTGGCGCAGCTGTTGGAGTAGCTGAGGATAAGGGAGGCATTGTTGACAGTGGCATCCAGGCGGCCGGGCAGCAGGAGGTTGACCAGCTGCACCACGTAGAAGGGCATCCAGCAGACCACGAACATGGCAACCACCATCAGCACCAAGCGCGTCAGTTTGCCCTCGGATCGCCGGCGCTGCTGCCAGCCCACCCGCTGTGCCACTGCCCGCATCTTGCCCACGATCAGCAGGTAGCACAGCCCCATGGCCAACACCGGCAGCAAGAAGCCCAACAAGGTGGTGTAGACCACAAAAGCGGCCGACCAGGCCGGGCTTGGCCACAGGAGGTTGCAGGCTACTGCTTGGCCATCGCGGGTGGTTGCCGTACCAGCAAAGATAGGGATGGGTGAAGCCACCAGCAAGGAGAGGAGCCACACGCCCCCGTTGACCATCTTGGCCACCCGAGGACGGCGGTAGGTGGCTGCCCGCAGTGGGTGCACCACCGCGATATAGCGGTCCAGGCTGAGGACGGTCAAGCAGAAGACACTGGTGAACATGTTGAGCCCGTCAACACCCAGCACAGTGCGGCACAGGGCCCGGCCGAAGGGCCAGTGGTGCAGGGCAGCCGACGTGGCCACGAAGGGGATGCTGAGCATGAAGAGTTCATCAGCAATGGCCAAGTTGAGCAGGTAGATGTTGGTGGCTGTCTTCATCTTGGCATAGCGCAGGATGACAAAGATCACCAGGGAGTTGCCCAGCAGCCCCAGCAGGCACACCAGGGCGTAGATGCACTGGATCACCACCATGCCTGCGATCTCACCCACCTTGCTGCCCCACTCCACCTGCCCCTGCTGCCGGCCGACCTCCCCCACAGCCACGCTGGTGTTGGGGGGAACCTCAGAGGCGGCCCAGCTGGATACGGTCCAGAGGGGCACGCTGGCCGCCTGGGCCCCTGCTGGGAGCTGCTCAGCATCGGCGCTCATGCTGGGAGGTGGTCCATGGATGGGACACCACCGGGACAGGGGCCAGCCTGCAGGCAGGGCACAGGCAGAGAGAGAAGGGGATGAGAGCTGTGGCAGATGCAAAGCATGCTCCCCTGCCTTCCCCCCTTGCATCATGGCCTCATGCATTGGGCAACTCCAGCCGTGGCCTCCCTGCTCCCTCCATTCACCCCCCTCCCTGCCTGGCCACCTGCACGTCATTCCTCAGGGCAACAGCATCGCTCTCCAGGCTGGAGCATCCCAGCTGTTTGGGCTCTTCGGGGCTGCAGGCGCAGGGTGTGCATTAACCATGCCTGGGGGCACAGCGGCAAACCCGTGGCATGGCCTGGGAGTCAGTGCCACCATCCGCCTTCCACAACCTCTACAAATCTTAGTGGCTTCATTAACCCCCCGTGAGGAAAGCAAACCAGAAGGAGAAATCGAGCTGGAGATATTTTACCTCTCAATCCTCCAGGGATTGAAAGAGCATCCCGCCTCCCTCCTGGGGGGTAGCAGCAGGCGCTGGGAGCTGCTCCGCTGGGATCCGCTGGCTGTTGGCAATGCAAAGTCCTGCTTGACCTGAATCAGATGACCAGAAGGATCCGGACCTTTTAAAGTGAAAGACAGACCACGCTTGCTGGACCGGAATACAGGCTATTCTCCCTCCCCTCCGTCACCTATGCTATGGAAAATCAGCTTTCCCATTAAAAAGAAATAAATAAAAAATAATCCAAGTTTCTGATTTATGCTCTCCGCTTCCCCAATGGAAAACAAAGCAACAGACGTACCCTTCCCCCTTCTCGCTTAGGTGTGCGGTATTCTGCTGGCTGTGCCCACGCCGAGGGGACACAGCATCCTCCGGGGCTGAGCCCTCCTCCTGCCGCCCCGGTGGGTACCGCGGCCCGGCCCCGGCGCTGCGGGCACTGCAGCGGGCGGGATGCTGCAGTCCGGGCTCCGCGGCGTGGC